GTTTGAGTCCAGTGGCACCTCTAAGACCAACAAAATTTTATTCAAGGTATAAGCTTTCATGTGTACACATGTGAATATCTGAAGAAGTGTGCATGCACACAAAAGCTCATACCTTGAATAAAACTTTTTTTTTTGCATTTTTGTGTGTGCCTATGCCTGGAAGTCATGGGAACCTCTGTTGACTCCTGCTGGGGCGTGCAGGACGCTCTGAGAAGTGGCTTGATAGCCTGCCTCTGCCTCCCGACCCTGATATTCCAAGGAGGTCACCTATCCAAAGACTTGCCAGGGTCAGCCCTGCTTAGCTTCCGAGATCTAATGAGATCAGGTTTGCCTGGGCTATCCAGGTCAGGAAACCTTGAACAAAACTTTGGCCCTTTCCGCACTTGGATCTCATCCCTGGTTTTATCAGATTTCAACTCAGGACACAATACCTTGCATTTATCCCTGGTTATTTTAGAGGGCCTGGCGGGAGCTGGTCCATGGGGTCGCGAAGAGTCGGACTCGACTGTGTGACTGAACAACAAACAACACTACATTTATCCCTCTCCAAAATTGCTTGGTGTCTCAGGTTATGCATTCTGCATTGTGAGCTCATTTCCCGGGTTTGTCCTGAGGTGTCACCGGACTCAAACTTTGTTCTAGTGGTGAATTAAACTGTGGCTACATGGCTGTGTTTCAAATCTTCCCTTTGCTCTGTTAGCCATGCTGTTGTCCTGTACATGGCCATTCTAGTCTTGTTCACGTTACAGTGAAAACACGTATATCCTGCATGTACTGGAATACATCTGTCTGTAAGAAAGAGTTTCACAAAGAAAACCTGGGGACTGGTACATTGATAAATACAGGGTTTAAGTAATAGATTCAGCTGTCTCATAAGAATTACATAAGAACAGAACATAAGAATTACTCACATGCCTATAAAGAAAAATCAAGTGTACACTTAACACAGATTGTTCATGTGTTCATTGAAGCTTGTGGACAGAGTTTTTGTGTCTTCTGTACCTGTACCATCAAAAATAGGAGTCAACAGTGCAGAGCTGAGAGACAATTTTGGTTGAAGGTTGTCTCTGAAATGGATTCTGACGATCAACTTGGAAGGGGATTGCTTGTGTAACCCTGTGATGCCTGAGGACGAAGAAAGTAGAAGGGACGACTGGAGGCTAAGACACCAGGGCTTAATTTGTTGATTGTTCTTCCTCTTCATTTCCCCCCAGGTTATCACAAGTTTTCACCCATTCTGGAAACCCCTTTCACTTGTGACTTTGAAGGCAGCACCTGCGGTTGGAAAGATGTGAGCACCTCAGCTTACCAATGGATCCCACACCAGGCCAGCCTCTCAACCCAGGAGATGGAGCTTCCTTTTGATCATACTTTGGGCACCGATAAGGGTAACTTGTTCTTGGAGGCATTCACTAAGGATATGACTTGCTTATGCGATCACCCAATAAGCATACAAAAGTCAGTGTTGCAATAGTATCAGCTTTCTTTTCTTTTCTTTTTTAAAAATCAAATCTCTAACCCCTAGTGGCCAATGTGTGATGGAATTTTGGAATCCAAAAGGAGGATGAACAAGACTTTCTGTGAGTGGGTGGGTTGGTAAAGATGCAGTAATCTGCATAATTCCATGTCCAGTAGAAGCACAGTAAAATCTTTCTAAGGAATTGTTTTGGTCTGCATAAATGGTATGACTGGGCTTAAAATTTTAAAAGTATCACAGCTGAATGACTGGATATATATTTATAAATCCACGGGTCTGTTTAGCAAAGGCACCCTTTCTCTCAGCATTTTTCTTTTTGTTTCTTTATTTTACAGGTTAATCAGCTGCTTCCTTTTGTTCCTTTCTTTCATAGGCTGATTTTCCCCTGTTGTCTGTAGACCTGTCCATGCCATTTGTGAATCAATTTTTTAATGAGTTGTTATGGGGCAAATGGGAAATTAAGTACTGCCATTACTCATTATTTTTTTTTTAAATCTGAATTTTGTAAGAGCATTATAATGATGAAAAATAAAATGGAAAACTGACAGTGGCTGCACTTGCTGAGTTAAAAGCAGTATCTAATTTCCCTTTAACTCTATAAATGTAGGATAATTAACAGTTGATTCAGGGATGGTGATCAGCTATAGGAGAGGATAGTTGTGGAGGGGAGAAAGAAGAAAAATTTAACAGGCCTGTAGGCCTGGGAATACGTAATACTACTTTGACTGTCCACACCAGACAATCTGGAGCAGCAATTTCTGGTTTATGTTAGAAGAAATCAGACATGAAAAAGACTGGAGGGCAATGGGGAAAACAACTGAATGAAGCAAGGTGGCAACAACTTTGGGCTCTCTATTAAAACTGTGTGAATGAATGATGGTAGTTCTAGACTAAAGGGCAATCTGGGTCAGATGATTGGCCCATCTAGCTCAGGACTGGCTATTTTGATTGGCAGGAGCTCTTCAGGGTTTCAAGTAGAGAGAGGCATTCTTGCCCCAACACCTTTTCTCTGAGGTCCTTTAACTGGCGATGCCAAGGACTGAAGCTGGGATCTTCTGCATACAAAACCTGTGCTCCGCCACCAAGAAACACACACATTCTGTCACTGTGTACAATAGGATGGGGATGGGTGGTAAAATTAATTCTCTTTTAGGAGAGCAAAGTTAGCTGTCTGCTGGGGCCCATTTTTCCTAGTGATGTGAGTAAACTTTGGCTGACTGGTATCCCGGACTGCAGATGTTGAAAGGAAGATCAGTGTCTAACATCTGTCCTCTGACCTCTCTGACCACAGCTTTTGACATTTCCATAGGTTGGTACATGACCACCTCGAAGCAGAGAGGGAAGCCTTCTCTCACAGCCAGGCTTGCATCCCCACAAATGCAAGAAGCAGCTGCAACGTGTGAGATCCGAGCTTGGTATCACCTGTGGAGACCAGGTATGTGGGCACAGCAGGTAATGTTCAAGGGAGCCAGCCATCGGAGCACTTTCTCCCACCGGACAGAGCCAACAGTCTACTTGCAGTGCCCCAATCATGACCTGTAATGGATGGTCTCTTTTCATGATTTAGGCAGGCTCTGGTTCTGGTAACTGCTCCACAGCAGGCAGAAAACAAGTATACCAGCTAATGAATCAGGAAGTCCCCGGTTTGAATTTTATACCCACCGAGTTACAATCTCTTTGCTTCTACCTGCAATATGGAGATGATAATGCTAACTTTCTTTAGAGGTGCAACAGCCGTCCCCAGGTGGCATTGGTGCCAGCTGATGAGCTGAAAACTGTCCAAAGGACTCTTCTGACTGCCTTGTCCCTGCAGGACTCAATGAGACTCACCAGCCCAGTTTGACAGTGGAGCTGATTCATGCAAATGACATCGTGACGCTATGGCAAAGCCCCCTGAGCAGCGCCTACTCCTGGCGGGAACTGGTTGCGTACACTGGCCGGGTTCACGGGATGTTTCAGGTACCTGGCAATTGGTGGGCCAGTCTATACTGCCTTCCAGTAGGGCAGCTTGGAGTGGCTCTTGGAGTGGTGCTGTAGTGTACCTCAGGAATCTGTTGCCTGCGAGAGAATGTACAAAAATCCCTTGTACGGAGTTGGAAATTAATTCTCTTTTAGGAGAGCAAAGTTAGCTGTCTGCTGGGGCCCATTTTTCCTAGTGATGTGAGTAAACTTTGGCTGACTGGTATCCCGGACTGCAGATGTTGAAAGGAAGATCAGTGTCTAACATCTGTCCTCTGACCACAGCTCTTGACATTTCCATAGGTTGGTACATGACCACCTCGAAGCAGAGAGGGAAGCCTTCTCTCACAGCCAGGCTTGCATCCCCACAAATGCAAGAAGCAGCTGCAACGTGTGAGATCCGAGCTTGGTATCACCTGTGGAGACCAGGTATGTGGGCACGAGATGTATCCCTTTCTCTGCCCCACTGCTTGGTGCTTCTGTTATGGCTTCCTAAGCAGATGCTGTTACATACAATCAGGGCTATTTTTGGGCAGATCACCTGTGGAGACCAGGTATGTGGGCACAGCAGGTAATGTTCAAGGGAGCCAGCCATCGGAGCACTTTCTCCCACCGGACAGAGCCAACAGTCTACTTGCAGTGCCCCAATCATGACCTGTAATGGATGGTCTCTTTTCATGATTTAGGCAGGCTCTGGTTCTGGTAACTGCTCCACAGCAGGCAGAAAACAAGTATACCAGCTAATGAATCAGGAAGTCCCCGGTTTGAATTTTATACCCACCGAGTTACAATCTCTTTGCTTCTACCTGCAATATGGAGATGATAATGCTAACTTTCTTTAGAGGTGCAACAGCCGTCCCCAGGTGGCATTGGTGCCAGCTGATGAGCTGAAAACTGTCCAAATGACTCTTCTGACTGCCTCGTTCCTGCAGGACTCAATGAGACTCACCAGCCCAGTTTGACAGTGGAGCTGATTCATGCAAATGACATCGTGACGCTATGGCAAAGCCCCCTGAGCAGCGCCTACTCCTGGCGGGAACTGGTTGCGTATACTGGCCGGGTTCACGGGATGTTTCAGGTACCTGGCAATTGGTGGGCCAGTCTATACTGCCTTCCAGTAGGGCAGCTTGGAGTGGCTCTTGGAGTGGTGCTGTAGTGTACCTCAGGAATCTGTTGCCTGCGAGAGAATGTACAAAAATCCCTTGTACGGAGTTGGAGCATGGATCCATCTGGCTCCGTGCTGTCATCCCTCTAGGGTCCTGGGCACGAAAAATCTTTCCCAAGACTTGATATTCTTTAATTGGACATGCCAGGGATTGAAACGGGGATCTTCTACATGCACATGAAATTTGGTTATTGTGGCTGTGGGAGCACATCATGATATGGATGAGCAACACAGAAGCACGCTACGAGAGATGCATCCTGAGTTTCCTGTGTCTTTGCAGATCATCTTCTCTTCAACTCAAGCCTTCTCTGAGACAGTGGTGGTGGCGCTGGATGATGTGGAGTTCAGAAATTGAGGCCCCCCACGTAAGGCAGAGCTTCCTCCACTTTTTTTCCGTGAATGGGTTTGGTGGGAAAAAAGAAAGGCCAGAGTACATTTGCCTGAGTTTCTGGGCAAAACCTCTTGGGGCATTTGAGCATAACAGCCATGTGCTGAATTCCCCCCAAACACTTCATAACACTGAGGATTACTTGATAGCAAAGTGTGGGTTGTTTCCCTGCTCTTGTCCACCATGTTTGGCTGCTTCTGGAGGGTTATCTCTGTGTATGTGAAAATGCGGGAAATACCCTGGCCTTCACTCAGAGTCCCAGAGCGGCTTACCAACTCCTTTCCCTTCCCCTCCCCACAACAGACACCCTGTGAGGTAGGTGGGGCTGAGAGAGCTCTTTTTGAGAACTGTTCTTTCAAGAACAGCTCTTATCAGAACTATGGCTTGCCCAAGGTCATCCAGCAGGTGCAAGTGGAGGAGTGGGGAATCAAACCCGGTTCTCCCAGATTAGAGTCCGCACACTTTATCAGAACTACGGCTTGCCCAAGGTCATCCAGCAGGTGCAAGTGGAGGAGTGGGGAATCAAACCCGGTTCTCCCAGATTAGAGTCCGCGCACTTAACCACTACACCAAACTGGGGCAGGGAGGGAACCAGCCATTTTTCATGGCAACTTCACAGTGTAGTTCTTGCCTGGAAATGGATTTGGAGAGAAACTTGGGGTGGCTAAAGGGCCACCTTAAGGTGGTTTTCCTTCATCCTTGATCCCTCTTTGAGAAAGAGATAACCCTTTCTCTGCCCCATTGCTTGGTGCTTCTGCTATGGTTTCCTAAGCAGATGCTGTTACATATGAAGTTGCTGGAGAGCCAGTGTAGTGCAGTGGTTAAGAGCAGCGACTCTAATCTGGAGAACCAGGTTTGGTTTCCCACTCCTCCACATGCAGCCAGCTGGGGGACCTTCAGTCAGTCACAGTTCTCTCAGAGCTCTCTCAGCCCCACCTTCACAGGGTGTCTGTTGTGGGGAGAGGAAGGGAAGGCGACCGTAAGCCGCTCTGAAACTCCTTCGGGGAGTGGAGAGCGGGGTATAAAAACCAACTCTTCTCCTTCTCCACTAGACATTTTGTGTGTGTGTGTGTGGGGGGGGGAAGTGTGGAACAGTATCTTTCAGAAAGTGGATGCTATAGAGCCAAAGTGTGAGATGTCGCTGATGTAAACTGATTTGAAAAGATGGGCTTCAGAAATTATAAACTGGCCACTCTTACTCTGGAAATCACTAATTCAGACAGGAAATAGGGGTGAGTCAGGTGCCCGTAATTGTATGGGGGCTATCCTAACTCTTTTCAGCCTTGGTTTAATTCAGAGATAAGTGGATTCATGCAGGTCAAAGACCCCAGAGATCCTAGGAGATGGACTGCTTTGAGAAAGAGTCACATACAAGGGGCCCCAGTTGTATGGGATGAATTAATAGCAGCAACCACTTGGTCTTCTCTTTGTGGATACGGGCCACAAAAACACTGCTTCAGTAGACCACTGCTGATCAGCCACCTCTTTGCTGCTCCTTAGATCCCCGGACTTGTGACCTGTATGAAGTTGACTGCCAGCAAGGTGGATGCGTGGGTTTGGACCGGTTGTGTGATGCTACTGAAGACTGTAGAGATGGCCTAGATGAACAAGACTGTGGTGAGTGCTGCTCACTGGGAAGTGCTAGGAAATAAGCCCTGCTGGGAGATTTAACTGCCTTAGCCCACTACTGTTTGAAGTCAGGATGGGGTGGTGTCAGGGTACTGGGAGATGACATGAGTGGGCATCTGCCCAGGCCCATAGACAAAGGCCTCTGGTGTGCAATTTCCCATATCTGGGGGATGGCAGCAGTATACCTGCACAATTAAAGTGCAGGATGGTAGCTTAGTTGGGGCGGGGGTGGCACTGGAAGGTATCGTGGTTAAGGCTCAACAAACTTGGATTCAGCCCTGGACTGGGCATCATGGTTAGGCTTGCCAACCTCCAGGGGGTGGCTGGAGATCTCCTGGGATTACAACTAATCATCAGGCAACAGAGACCAGTTCACCTGGAGCAAACGGCCACTCTGAAAGGTGGACTTTATAGCATTATGCCCCACTGAAGTCTCTCCCCTCCCCAAACCCCACCATCTCAGGCTCTGCCCCTAAAATCTCCAGGTATTTCCCAGCCCAGAACTGGCAACCCTAATACATGGTTGGTAATCTAAAGGGGAGCTGGTGAGTGGAGATGCGTGATCCTAGAGTTGCTCGGACTGAAGGGCGAGGCCAGAGTCAGCAGGTTTATAAGATACCATGTAATCCTATTGGTCCTTTATGTCACATGACCTCTGCAGGACTGGTAGGTGCCATACTACCATCAGGCCAGTGTGGTGGTGGAAAGTGCTGTCAGATCACAGCTGACTTATGGCGACCCCATGAGGGTTTTCAAGGCAAGAGAGGTTCAGAGGTGGTTTGCCATTGCCTGCCGCTGTGTCATGACCCTGGTATTCTTGGAGGACTCCCATCCAAATACTAGCTAGGGCTGACCCTGCTTAGCTTCCAGGAGCTGACAAGATTGGGCTAGCCTGGGCTAGAGGAACTGAAAAACACAAGGGAGGCGAGCTGCTCCTTCTTCCTGCAGATTGCTACAGTGGTACAGACCATAGTTCATCCCTTTTTTGAGACTCTTGGCATCTTACATGGTCAGCTCATGACTTATAGGTAACTGGTCCCATAAACCACAACTTTCCCCCTCTGGTTTCATTGCAGTTAATTGTCTGAATTAGCAGACCTGGCTAAGTTGTTTCTGTTATTGCTGCAGGAAAACAAATGTGGGGTAGACCGGTCAGGAGTCCATAAGTACCCAGACCACTGTTCCCTCTAAACTGAGTTAAGGTGAGCTAGCTCAAAGTTTTTTAGCTCACACATTTTTGTCTCAGCTCAGGAGGGATGGCTCCAGAGCAAACTAGTTTATGCAGTAACCAAATCACTCACTCACAACTTTAATGCCAGTAGCTCACAAAATGGAATTTTTGCTCACAAGACTTCACAGCTTAGAGGGGAACATTGACCCAGACCATTTTAAAAAATGTTGCTTCTTTAATTATTGACTGTCTTTCCATTCCTTGTGAGATACAGAAGGCGCCTGTCCATTCTAACTGCTACAGTCTTATTTAGTCCACTTTTGGCTTTTGAGATTTTAGCAAACGTCGCCCACTCACTTTGAAGCAAACCTCAACCATAAGAAGAATTGAATAGATAACCTGATTTCTTAAGGGAAACCCTGCAATTGCTTCATTTGAGCCCTCAGTTCACAGCTTAATTGATTGTTGAAGTCTGGCTAAATGAGCAAGGACCAAGGTGCCCGAAGGACCACCTTCACCCCTGTGGCCCGCTTGTGATCTCTGATGTTCTTCTGGGGCCCTGCTCCAAATGCCTGTGGTGATAGAGACGAAGGAAATAGGCACAAGGGATGGAGCCATCTCGATGATTGTACTTGAACAATGGGATGTACTTCCTTCAGGCTCTTTATCTCTTCACCTTCAGATGTAGGCATGATTTATACATGGGACTGGCTGAGGCAAAATCACTCCCCCATTGGCCGCCCACACAGCTCCTTGTTTAAACTAGGTTTTTGCCCATGGAAAACAGCTCTGGGTGGCACGTAGCCACTTTGCATGGGTGGCAGCCCAGTTTAAACAAGGCCCAGTGGGAGTGTTGTCCCATGGCGGAGGAAGATCAAGGCCTTCTCAATCGAACCTGAGATTCTCCTGTTTCAATACTGATTTGGAAGTATCAGGATCTGTTCTGATGCTGCTATTCAGACCTTTTAAAGGAAGCTCTGTTTTTAAAATGATATTTGATGCTGCTTTTGTTGTCTTTAAATTATGTGGGCTTTATGGGAAAAAATGTTTTTGAAGTTGCCTAAGAGAG